ATTAAACACTTTCTCTAAGTGTTTTATGTCGAAGTTGTGCCGACACTGTGTTGAATTAAAAATAAAGTGTGATCAGTTTTTGGGAAAAAATCAGTGTCGTTCCCGAAGTGCTCTGCACAACAAGCGCATTAGAGAAAGTGTTTTTTGTCGAAGTTGTGTCGAGTCCTGCGGGCACGACACTGTGTCGGACTCAAAAACACTCTGAACCTGACGAACTACTAGTTTTTGCGAAAACATCAGTGTTGTGCCGCTAGAACAAGTGTTGCCGAGCCTTCGGGCCCGACACGGGTTTCGACGCCAAAACACTGCAACACGATTGTGTCTGATGAAAGTTCGGATCCGCAATTGCCAACACTGTGCGGTCTTTGACGCGAGTTGCAAAGTTTCCGGATAGTTTCATCCAAGTTTGCCGCACTTTATGGGGAATTAAACCGGGAAAATGTCGGTCCCCATGCCATAGACGTGCGTGAGGGGGCGATTAACCCTTAACGCCTCCCTGCGGACCAATCCAGCACGAAAAGTCGGCTGGAAGGCGCCCAATTAATATGCTAATGCTGTTGTGATTCAGCGCACGGCAGGAATTAAATCACGTGGATCGTCCCCATGGTTGCGGTTGGGGGGTCCATTAGGGCTCCGGCCGTGGGCCCCGATTATCCACCGACATCGGCCAAGACATCGATGCAATATCCATTGGGAAGTGGTGGAAAAAGTGCGCCGATTCGGGCCCAACACGTGCGCCTGTCATGTCGGTTGCGCCGCACAGTGGCGGCGCCCGTCTACATCAGCGTGATGGCTGATTGAAAGGCGTCGACGTCGCTGAGTGGCTGCAGGCTGGGATGTTTCATGCGCCAAGTGACTATTAATAGGCGCACTGATTGGGAGCAGCTGGCTCTGGAAGCTTCGATTTCGGCTTTTCGGTGCGAAGCGACAGTGGCGGAGGTCCGACTCGAAAGCACGCAGATTGGTGACTAGTTTTCCACTTTTTGCGCTCCAATTACGCTGATTTGAACACACTGCAACAAACAACTAACACTGTGTTGTGTGGCGCTTTTGTGTCAACGCCCAGTCTCGCTGACACCGACCCGAGAAGCCCTAGCGACATGACTGCGCCAACACTGAGCTAACACACTGGCTTGGTCCAAGCGGTGCCGGGCTAGAAATCGACCCGAGCCGCAGTTATGGCAAATCGCCATAAAAAATGCATGGCGCAATCGATACCGAATAATGGCATCTTATTACCTGGCCGATATGTTGGGGGGACGTGGGCGTGTGGGGGGGACTGATGGCGCATTAGTGTCCCCAGAAGGGCACCACATTTTCCAGAAGAAGTTGTTTGAACCTCTGGAACGCAGCAGTCCGCACATTGAGATGTCCAATCCGGATAAGTAGCGAATCGGCTCGGCGCGGCCCCATAAAACGCAATGAAAAGATATAAAGCGCAATGAGAAAGTCCGTCCGTTTGGATCCTCTTCGCTCGGCGAAACGATCGCTTTGCAAGACACGCGAAGCCCTCATCATTACCCAATCGGTCCGGATCTTTTTTTTATCTATCACGCCGTCCACTGTGGGCTGAGTGGGTAGACGATGGTGCGCCAACACTGTGAGCCTTTTTTTTTGAAGAAAACTGAACGAAGGAGATGTGGTTTTTGTTGCCCAAGTCAGTGTCGCAGGCCTGGGTGACTCAGCGAATTTTTAGGAGTTGGCGCAGTGTTGCGGCGCAGTAACTCAGCTTGCATGGCTTTTCAGGCGCGTGCGTCCAGGGCCAGTCGGAGTGTTTTTTCGCGTCCAAATCAGGCGACACAACAAGCCCCAACTGGGAGGCGTTTTCAGGAGTTGGCGCAGCCCATTTTTTATAACTCACTAAGTCAGACAGTATCAACAATTCAGAAAGACTCTGAGCCTGACGATTGATCAGTTTTTGCAAAAAAGAATTAAAAAAAAACACTGATTTTTCGCAAAAACTTATCATTCGTCAGGTTTAGAGTGTTTTTGAGTCCGACACAGTGTCGTATCCGAAGGGTTTAGCACAATTTTGACATGAGACACTTTCTCTAATGCGCTTGTTGTGCAGAGCACTTCGGGAACGACACTGGTTTTTTTCGCAAAAACTGATCATTCATCAGGTTCAGACTGTTTTTTGAATCCAACACAGTGTCGACGCAACTTCGACATAAGACACTTTCTCTAATGCGATTGTTTTGCCGATTGTTGATTTTTTGCAAAAACTGATCATTCGTCAGGTTCAGAGTATTGTTTTAATCTAACACAGTGTCGGCACAAGTTCGACATAAGACACTTTGACTAATGGGATTGTTTTGCCGATTGTTGATTTTTTTGCAAAAGCCAATCATTCGTGAGGTTTAGAGTGTTTTTCAGTCCGACACAGTGTCGTGCCCGAAGGGCTCGGCACAACTTCGACATAAAACACTTTCTCTAATGCGCTTGTTGTGCAGAGCACTTCGGGAACGACACTGATTTTTTCGCAAAAACTGATCATTCATCAGGTTCAGACTGTTTTTTGAATCCACCACAGTGTCGGCACAACTTCGACATAAAACACTTTCTCTAATGGGCTTGTTGTGTCGAGCCCTACGGAGTCCGGCACAGTGCCGAGCCCTTCGATGTCGACAAAAAACTCTTTCGCATATGCGATGGTTTTGCCGATCGGTGATTTTTTCGCAACAACTGGTCCATCGTCCGGTTTAGAGTGTTTTTGAGTTCGGCACAGTGTCGTGTCTGAAGGGCTCGGCACAATTTCGTCATAAAACACTTTCTCTAGCGCGCTTGTTGTGCAGAGCACTTCGGGAACGACACTGATTTTTTCGCAAAAACTGATCATTCGTCAGGTTCAGAGTGTTTTTTGAATTCAACACAGTGTCGGCACAAGTTGGACATAAAACACTGAGAGAAAGTGTTTAATATCAAAGTTAACATAGCTGGCGCAGCCCATGTGTTATAACTCATTAACCGATGAGTTAAACGGGCTGGTTGTGTCGAGTCCTACGGAGTCCGGCRCAGTGCCGAGCCCTTCGATGTCGACAAAAAACTCTTTCGYTAACGCGATTGTKCCACATTGTAATTTCGCCTTAAGGCAACAAAGAAAAATCGGGCTCTTGGGAGCGAATGCGATCGCAAATGCCGTCCGTCATCCATTTGCGTCTCAACCCGGCCGTAAAACACTCCAGCTATTATTAGCGAAATCTGGCAAATAATGCACGGGACCCTTTCGGGCCCTCCTTTCAACAACGGCCTGCATACCTGAGCAGCCTTGGAGTGGTAAAAAATGGCGAAATTCCTGCAGACTGTCCATCAGCCACGTGATTGAGGGACGTGCCACGTGTCCGGCGGCCTACTCAGCACGCCGCCGGCCGGAATCCCCCCCAAACTACACCTGGCAGCCGCGCGATATCGATCAGTGACGTTGCCAGCTCGTTAAATATTTCAGGCCGACGGCCGCCAAGGCCAGCCACTGGATTCATCCGAAGACGTTCGAGGTGCGGCTCAGTGGCGGCGCAAATGCGCTGTTTAGCGATTCCCGGCCAGAGTTCGCCTAAATACCGATATCAATTTGGGGGGCGGGCGCCACGAAACATGAAATATTTATCGGGCGGCAGTGAAAACGTGGCGCATTTGCGCCCAAATCCGATACCCGCCTATGCAAATGGACGTGCGGCTCTGAATACGAATCGGCGCTTTTGTAATTGGCCGGCTAAACTCCGGGATTCTGTTTGTTCGCCGGCAGATGGATGGAGGTTTTTCTCACCTCCTTCAGCCCGTCGGCCCTCAAGGGGACCGAATTTCAATTAACCGTCATCCGATTGGGCACAGCGCAAGCAAAGGCGCCAACAATGCGCTGCTAATGAGCTGCGTTTGATGCGCCACTGCCGATAAGACACGTTGATTAATCGGCACAATGAGCGGGTTGCGACTGGCGCTCTTAATTGACTTTCAGCAACCGTCCAATCGGCAAAAACGCGCCAAAGTGTTGGCAGTTGCTTGACACCCGGCGCATTTTAGTCATGCAAGAAAGGCTCTCCTTCGCATAAACGATGCGCCGTTTTGAGGGCCTCGGATGCGTGCCGCGGGCCGATAACGCGCTCAAATTGCAATTCGAAATTTGAAAAGAGTTTTCGGTAATTGAGTCTGGAGGCCGTGCGCCATTCCCGGGCGCAAACAATGTTCGAGTGGAAAGTTTCCTGATTGTGTTAGAGCGCGGAATGGGGTTTTCGCGCAACAACCAACCAACTCATTTGCATTGTTCGCCCCATTTTTTCCCCGTCTGCTGCCTCCCAGCCTTCGGGCGCGACAGCGCTCTGGGCGACACTGTGTTAAGGAGTTATGACTCAATCGCCGATGGCCCCTGCGTTCGCGCAGCACTGCTATTGCTATTTTTTGTGCCACCCGGTATATCTGGGCCGATTCGGATTTCTGCGAAAGTCTAGTGTGATTGCATGAGCAATTTTGAACGGAACTGAGTTACTGCACCGGTGCGTTGAGTTGGCGCAGGGCTGCGCCAGCTCCTAAAAAGTCACTGAGTGGCCCAGGCTGGAGTTTTAACCTCTACAARAAGGCGCCAACAATGGAACTGAGGTAGTGGGCCGTTGCGTCGGGTTGGCGCAGCACTGCGCCAACGCCTTAAAACCCACTGAGTTACCCAGACCKAGAAAAACGCTTCTGACTTGGGGCGACGCCACTGATTCGCACTTAAAACTACAACTTGTAACATTAAAGGCGTATTTAAAACAAAASACCATCCTCAAGGTAGGCAACAGTGCCGTAACCGGCCATGAGTTATAGCTCATTGACCAATGAGTTGAAGCGCATTAACTCAGAGAGCGGCAACACACTGGTTGCAACACAAGCGTGTGTAAAATGCGGGCAAACGGGAGGTCCCAAACACTTTGTCCTCATGACAAATGGCCAACGATTCTGGGGGGTAAACATGTGGCAACCTGCACGCTGTCGTTTCGATATTCCTAATCGAGTCCTGTTTGTTCCAGAAAGCCTGCGGGAATACTTCAGCAAGTACGGCGACATATCCGAGGTGATGGTGATGAAGGATCCGGCAACACGGCGATCTAGGTAAGTGTGCTTGGCTCACCGTGTAGCTTTCGTGCGGGTCCAAATGCCCTGGGCATTTGGAACATGCTCCCAACCCCCCCCATTTACTCCGGCTCCATTCCTGTGACTTGTGGGCGCTCGTTTGGGAAACTGTCGCTGCGCCCCTGGACGACTTTAATTAAAAACGACGTTTCGGCCCCCGAAATGAACTTCTTCGCCGACCTTTGAACCCCGCACTAAGTGGGCCAGCAAGTCTTGCGCTCGTAATTAATGACTTCGGCCCGATCTTGTCTTGTCCAACTTTCGCTCCCCGTGGAACGTCCCCCTGAAGCGCCCACGCAGTTGCCAGCTTGTGCGGCAAATCCGGCGGCGGCAACGCCGCCCCTGATCCGCCGGATATTTTTCTAAATAATAATCCCCGATGGTTTTCGATTATCGCTGGCGCCGCACCGATTAATTTCCTGGAAATGAAAATGCAAATCGTCGCAATTTATTGTCGCATTTAAAACGCGGACAGCGCAAACAAACGGGACTTAATTTAAATGGGCGAACGAATTCGCTAAATTTCATTCGGTTTGCGAATATTAGCGCGTATTTGCATGCTGTGGATGCGTGTGGATCTAATGGGCCGTGGATGGGCTCCAAATGGCAATTGTTTGTTGGCTCGATGTCTGAGGATGGTGTGCTG